CCCCTCCCGCCTGCATTCACACACTCAGGTGCCCCAGCCTAGCTCCTCCGTCAGCTGACACCCGCTGTGGAGCCCAGGGCCATCTTTATGGCTGTCCTGACTCGCTCTCACCCTGCAGGTCATCAACACAGGTATCAAAGTCTTGTGTCGCAACAACGGTGGTGAGGATTTTGACTGCGCCTTCCGGTTGGCCCAGGAGGTAAAGTGGGCAGGACCTGGGGCGACACTGAGTGGACGTGGAGTGATACACACGTCTCTGCTCCAGCGCGGGAGCTTTGTTACTTTGCAGTATCACAGCCTTTCCTTTCTCCGTGACTCTCACTCCATGACTCTCTCCTTCCAGGAGCTATGGTATCTGCACACCCCTGGTGTTGCCTCTTCTCTATCCCTACCACCACCTCCTGCAGCCCTTTGTGCCACACCAGGGGTGTGTCCTGGCCTCCACCTGGTCTGTGGAATGGGCACCATCCGGACCCTGGCACTGTTGAGGCTGGGGTGGCCCTGGGTGGTCCCTGTGTGACAACGTCATACCCAGTGAAGATGGGGTGGCGTGTCTGCCTCCGGGACAGCCTGGGGATGACGCACCAGTGCCCGCTGACTTCCAGGACCACATTCCTTCTCTTTTCCACAGGGGATCTACACGCTGTACCCATTTATTAAGTCACGGATTGTCACTGTGTCCATGGAAGACGTGAAAATACTGTTGACCCAGGAAAATCCGTTTTTCAGGAAACTGAGCAGTGAGGCATACAGCCAAGCCAAGGACCTGGGTGAGCAGGGCATGGAGCGAGCAGCGTGGCTTGTGTTCTCCGGGACGGTGAGCTTGTGTGTGCAGCGCGGCTTGTGTTCTCTGAAACGGTGAGCTTGTGTGTGCAATGCGGCTTGTGTTCTCCGGGACAGTGAGCTTGTGTGTGCAGCGCGGCTTGTGTTCTCTGAAACGGTGAGCTTGTGTGTGCAATGCGGCTTGTGTTCTCCGGGACAGTGAGCTTGTGCGTGCGGCGCGGCTTGTGTTCTCTGAAACGGTGAGCTTGT